ACTCCGTTAACAGGTGGGAGGGGCTAACTCCTTTTGCAGATTGAAACGCTTGGGTCTGAGTTTACGTGACGTATGTAATGAGCCCGAGAGAGGGTTAGCATTTAGCATTTAGCCTAGCTTTAGCATTTAGCCTAGCTTTAGCCATCTCCTTTGCCACTAACGGAGCCCGTGGGGAGTAGCTCCACAATCTTTGCCAGCGATTACATTTGCTAAACATTGCTCTTGCTCTGGCTTCAATTTCTAGATAGAACCAGACCAGAATACTTTACTATCGCATTTTTCGCCATTGCCAAACACCCGCCTTCCGCGCCGTTACATGCAGGAAATGATGATTGAGCGAAGAGAACGGATGGATAAGGCCAGGCTAGGTGGAGAGTGTTCAATGTTCAAGGTATCTTTATTATCCCAGAGGGGAGATTTGGTTGCAGCAGCAGAAAGACACACATATACACAAGTATATGTAGAAAACAGAAATCCATGTTTTGGGCACATTTTTTATACTACTCAACCTAACAAGGTATTCTGTCATGAAATGTGTTATGTTTCAAGGCAAAATTGTCCTTACTATTAAAAGATTGCTGTGAAATCATGTATTCAGAAGCTGCAATGATTACATTTGTCCACTAGATGTCAGTGTTAAAAGCTAGTATAAGCTCAGAGGCACCGACACATTCGAAACAATCTGGCAAAAAAGCCTTGGTGTGTTACAGTAATAGGCCCCTGCACGGGCCTATTATCTGGGCCCAAGCCCGGCCCTGGCCCGAAGGGGTGGCGCCCCAGCCCGGCCCCGCCAGACATGGTATCTGAATTCTCAGGGCCAAAACCCGTATCAAGCCTTTTTTTTTTTTTTTTTTTACCTCCCAAAACAATGTTGTAGCGTCACGCACAGATATGAAAACAGACCCGGCTAGAGGGCGGAGTTATGTGTTCTGTGTGTACGGAGTGAACGGCCGCAGCTGTATGATACACAGCTGTATGATACACAGATGTATGATACACAGATGTATGATACACAGATGTATGATACACAGCTGTATGATACACAGATGTATGATACACAGCTGTATGATACACAGATGTATGATACACAGATGTATGATACACAGATGTATGATACACAGTTGTATGATACACAGATGTGTGATACACAGATGTATGATACACAGATGTATGATACACAGCTGTATGATACACAGATGTATGATACACAGCTGTATGATACACAGCTGTATGATACACAGCTGTATGATACACAGATGTATGATACACAGATGTATGATACACAGATGTATGATACACAGCTGTATGATACACAGCTGTATGATACACAGCTGTATGATACACAGATGTATGATACACAGATGTATGATACACAGATGTATGATACACAGATGTATGATACACAGATGTGTGATACACAGCTGTATGATACACAGATGTATGATACACAGCTGTATGATACACAGCTGCTGCAATAAACTACAACACATTTGAAGGTAACGCTGTCGTCATGACAACACTAAACAGAACAACAATCACTACAGGGGGAAAGAACACTATATTCAGTGCGTTCGTAAATCGTTCTGAAAATGAATTAATAAAAGAGCCCGGCCCGTGTCCGAGGTCATTATACGGTCATCGACCCGAGGCCCGGTCCTCGGGCTGTCGGGCCCCTCGGGCTGTCGGGCCCCTCGGGCCTAGGGCTCAAGTGCAGGGCTCTACATCTGCCCATTCCTACTAATACTATTCACAGTGAATACAACATACTTGATGTTTTTGCCTCCAAAATTGACAGTCAGTTATGTTTTCAATGGCACAGATTATCTTTTTCCAAAGCACGCACTGGTTAAAGCCTCCCGTTCTCACCATAAAAGCACAATTCTTGATACATATACGAGGTCCCATTGATCGAACTATTCTCTTCCAGCTATTCTTATTGGCAGTGGTTATCCAAAAGAGAAAGACTGTATTAAATATAGCGTTTATGCTATTTACATGGATACGGTCAAAAATATGTATTCTTTTAGAAATGAAATAGAACTGAAGTTGCAGACGTAACCTTTAAACCTCTGCTGTACGGAAGTTATCAAAGCTGTTCAGTGGATGCAGTAAGAATATTCTTTCAAACCCACACCACTGTATTTGATGCATAAGACACAATTATATCCATATTTAATCAAGCACAAGTACAAATCCAGAAAAACAATTACGTTTTACTTTGCACCGAGTAATTGAGACGTTTCCCAGGATACGGGTGATGAGACGGCACACAGGTCTTCCATGTATGAGGTAAATAAAGTCTCTGTCATGTGACCTATTACCTGAGCTGATGGCAAACAGCAGCGACGCAGACTGCTCCGGCTGTCCGTCACCGCGCCGCCGCCATGGCAACCGTCGAACAGAACACGCAATTTATTATCAACATCAATGTCCTTTTCATTACAGGCGCGGCACAGTCATTCCGACGTATTAACACATTTTTATCGAGTTATGAAGCTCTCGTCACGGCTGCTCACATCAGATAATGCCTTTTCAGAAAGTCTACAACGTTGGCTGAGAAAGTGGATATCGAAATATGTCAGACTAAAACACTTTGACACACTGGCAGCCAACACGCTCTCATCCCAAAAGCTATCGAGCAAAATGCATGAACCTCATTCCCGGGATGGCGATCGTTACAATGTTTTAGACGGATTTTCCTAGCCTGGTCTTATCCATCCGTACTCTCCGCTCTATCATCATGTCCTGCATGTAACGTCTGGGTCTGGTCCCTGTGTTTGCGATTACAAACGCTTGAATTTCGACCGACCAATCAGAGAGCGCAGAAGGCGGGTGTTGTAGTTAGTTGTGGGTGACGTCAAGAGTTTGCGTCGAACAGGAATGTCGTAGTTTGGCGATGGTGAAGGATGCAATAATAAAGTATTCTGGTCTGGTTCTATCAAGAAGTTGAAGCCGGAGGAAGAGGAATGTTTAGGAAATGTAAAAATTGTGGCGCTACTCCCCACGGGGCTCTGTTAGTAGCAAAGGAGATGGCTAAAGCTAGGCTAAATGCTAATGACTCACACGGGCGCACTGCAAACGTCACGGTAAACTCAGATCCAATCGTTTCAATCTGCAAAAGTAGTTAACCCCTCCCACCTGTTCACGGAGTCAATGGAGCAAAGCCAGACCTTTGTACGAAATGTAATTAGTACTATGGTGTGGTACGACCAGGCTAGGATTTTCACTTTTTACCTTCTCAAAATGTCACAGCTTTCATCAAATCTCATCGTGCACAACACAAACACAGAGAGGTTGGTGTTACCCTGCTGAGGACGTCTGGTTGCAAGAGTAGACAGTAGGAGCAATTTGCGTTTTTGTCTTTTGATACTTCAGAAAGAAATTATAGTTATTTATCCCTACATAGATTCAGATCCATTTCATTTGCCATTTGGAAGAAAAACAAATACATGTGCAAAGGTATACCCCAGTGTGCGCCGAACAGCTACTGTATATGGCCAACGAACATGGCATCGGCAATTCGTGACAAAGCTTCTTGCTCTGGCCCCATCAAACAAACATATAATAGATAAATAATACGGTATAAAATAAAACAAACAAGCTAAAAAGGACAAGAAAAAATCATCAACAAAAACAGGAGCAATACAAGGGCTCGTAAGCAGTGAGCAAGCTACATATTTAGTTTTATTTTCAGATCCAATTCATTAATGTATGTATATTTTTGTGAGATGGAAAGGCATGGTGAAGATCTCTAGGCAGCCATGTTCTTTAGTGCTATGTTACGAATCTAAAAGAGTCACCTGGACTGGAGATCTTTGACGTTCCCGCTCCCATTCTCAAATATTTGAGACGGCAGTAGCTCAGTTGGTAGAGCGTTGGCCTTTGAGCCAGAAGGTCGTGGGTTCAAGCCCCGCTCAAGACTTTCACCATCGACTCCCACTGACTACTGTCGTTGTGTCCTTGGCAAGACACTTAACCTCTGGGAACACCAGCCACAGTGGGGCGGCTGCGGCTGTAAAGTGCCAAACTGCCGTTGTGTCCTTAGGCAAGACACTTCACCCCCATTTCCTAGAATGAGTCTGGTGTGTGTATGAATGGTTGGTGGTGGTCGGAGGGGCCGATGGCACATACTGGTTGCCTCGCTTCTGTCAGTGTGCCCCAGGGCAGCTGTGGCTACATTAGTAGTTTATCACCACCGTGTATGGAGTGAATGAATAATGACACATGTGAAGCGTCTTTGAGTGTCCAAAAAAGCGCTATATAAAACCGATGCATTATTATTATTATTATATTTTCTGATCCACAAAGTTGTTCTGAGGCCCCGTCCCAATACTCGCACTTCCACCCTCGCGCCCCTCATTTGCGCGTTCCCGATAAAGTGTGCGAGTGCGTAGGGTGTCCCAATTCTCCAGGGAGGTCTTTGGCCCCGCCCCCTTTGCGCGCCTGATCCACACTTCGCCGTAGACCCCGCTCCCATCTATGTGTGGAGTGAGAGACAATTGTAAACCGCTTTGAGACTCAGATCTGCAGTGAAAAGGCGGTATATAAATAAAGATTACTTACTTACTTTGTTTTGTTTCTGTTTGACTTCACGCGATACAAATAAAATGTGTTTGATTTACAAGGTTAAATATGCAATAACATAAACTTGTTCCCACATAAAACGTTGAATAATGCAGCTTTAAGTACAAAAACTGATTGTAATGGATTTAAAAATTTTTTTTAATTCTATGCTTGTACCTAAGTACCAGTAGATTAGTGCCAAACTTGAGTGGTCAGAGGGGCCAATGGCACATACTGGTTGGTTGCCTTACTCCTGTCAGTGTGCCCCAGGGCAGCTGTGGCTACAGTAGGAGTTAATCACCACCGTGTATGGAGTGAAGGATGAATGACATGTGAAGGGTCTTTGAGTGTCCTGAAAACCACTATATATAAAATCAATGCATTATTATTATTACTATTACTTTGTCTATTTCTGCAACATTAGTTACTGCTCGTATTCACAATCCTCGAATCATCTCTTCATTCAGAACCTCTCCGAGTAGAATCTCTTCGATCAGAATCTCTTCGATCAGAATCTCTTCGATCAGAATCTCTTCGATCAGAATCTCTTCGATCAGAATCTCCACTCCAGGTGACAACACAACTTTTAAAACTTTTTTTTTTCCAGAGCTCTACTTGAGTCATATTTTTTCTTCTTCAACACTTCCCAAACCCTGGTCTGGAGTATGGCCTCCCCTTCTGTCTCTGCCATGACCGCACACACACACACACACACACACACACGCACAATGAGCAGCTACAGTCTCCACCTGCCAGCACTCGACAGCTCTGAAGTTCAGGGATTGGACCGGAGATGGATCCACTGCGGCGAACGAGGACGTATAACAGCTTCATGTCTGCGGCGCTGATCCCAGGCCTCATTAAAGCGTGACACGCCGCCTGCAAAAGAGGGAAGCCAGGACTGTGCAAGAACAAATACAATGAAAGAAAAGTCAACTTGCTTTGCCAAAAAAAAGAAAAAACGTTCAAAGCACAAATTGGAAGGTGGGAAAACTAAGAAGGATTAAAAGGGTGCAGGTGAGAAAAAGGTATTTACCGGTTTACATTAAAACAGGGTTAGAGGTTTAATTCAAAACATAGGCTTTTCTAATTATTGTCGTAATTTTGTATACACTTTTTAATTTAGTGGTTGTAATTTTATTTTGTACTATTTATTTATTTTTCTTCTATTAAAACATCAAAACAGACAAAGACATCAACATTCAACAATAAAACAAACAACAAAACACAAGCACAAACAAAATAAAAACATAATTTGGAAGCATCAAAGAAGTGACACATTGCATTAGACAGAAACAATGCTAAGCCACATTCACATAACATTCATACTAATATGGAACTACTAATTAACTACCTCGGGTTTGTAAGGGTTTTGTTAAAGGGAACACCCAGGAAGCTGCATTAGCTCATAGGCGGGACCCTTTTCTACATCTGTCAAGCCCTGACGATCCAAGATGGCGTCCTGTTCAAATCAATGGCTTGTGCTGAGTACCGAATGTGCCGCCGTGGGGACAGGAAGACTAGCGGAACTTGTCCATATTTGGGCATCGTCTGGTCCTCCCGGTTCTGTGCAGTGGACAAGCTCCCATGATGCGTTGCACCAAATACGCGTCTGTGGCTCTTAACGCACGTGCACAGAGGGGCTCGGCTGCGTTCTGACCAATCAGAGCTGAGAATCCCCCGAGCCCATGGGTCCTTCAGCCCCAAGATCGTAATACCCCCATCTAGATATTATAATACATCCATGATCTGAATACTAGTGACAAGATCTACATGAAATTATTGGATTTGTCACTAATTTTATATTCTAAAAACTTTCCATGTCGCGTATCGAAAGTTGTTGAAAACTAAAATATAAAAAAAGCCTGAATCGGTGGATCCCTGTACTACATCCTGATACATCTGCAATATTAGTTTTAAGTCATGACATTTGTGTATGATTTTATCTTGTTCACAAGTGATCAAATAGGAATGGAATATGCTGAATTATACTGAATTATATAAATTTCTTTAGTCCAAACATAGACTCATCCTTTTTCTTCGTCCTCCGTTCAGCCACGTCAGCCTGAAGTGCAATCATACCATATATAGCATTAGCAAGTTATTTTTTCTTAATAACGCCTAACTAAAGCTTAGAATCTGACCAGACACTAAGTAATCAAATGGGCAATAATAGTGACTCTTATCCTCCATTGTCTAATATACAAAAACAAAAGTGCATAAATCCAGACTGATAATAATAAAATGACCAATCTCATATCTTGCCGTAAACAATGCTTGAAAGTTATAGTGTATTGGATGTAGTTAAATCAGAGTGGCCCTGAAAGAGCCTGAAAGAGCCCGAAAGAGCCCGAAAGAGCCCGAAAGAGCCTGAAAGAGCCTGAAAGAGCCTGAAAGAGCCTGAAAGAGCGCGAGCTACAGCACTATTGTTTATTGTGCAGAGTTTGAGCCTGTGGCCTTCTGCTGCGAGCTTGTTTTACTATTTAGAATTAATCTGTCTGCTCAGTAGAATTTGCACCTCACCTCTTCTGTCCAAACCAACATTTTATAGTGAAATATCTTCAGTTCGTTCAAGAGTCTCGGGTGAAAAAAGAGCTGAACTTGAAATACAACAAAATGCAGCAAACACAAAAAGACTCTGTACTTCGGCCGCGGTCTCTGCTTTACAGACGGACTTTGTAATTCTGCGTCTGCCTGAATGTAGCTACTGTTCAATATGGAACATATGAGATGGACGTGGGTGGATTCAGACCAGGATCGATACGGAAAAAAGTGGTTAAAAGTTACATTACACCATAGTAATCTTTATTATGATTTTCATAAACAGTGGCTTGAAAAGGTTTCCACACCTCATGAACTTGTACAGATATCTGACATCTAATTTTTTTTTGAATGACTAACACGAAATGACAAATAAATCTGGAGTGAATCTACCAGAGGACTTTCTAATACATTTTCCCCTAAGAACATACTATTTTATCAAGACATTCCAACAATTTTTGACGATCATAACATGCTATTTGCTACATGCGCAAATCCAATAATCTTTTATGGTTCGCAGCTGTGTGTACTTAAGTCAAAATCTTTTTAAAACTTGCAGTGGGAGTTGTAAGAATCGTGTGTATTGAGATGGGAAGGCTGAGTTTGGAACCTCAAGAACCAAGGAAACACTAGCCTCTGGGTGGAGCAGGACGGGTCACAGCAGCAGAGGTGGAGTAGCCTCTGGGTGGAGCAGGACGGGTCACAGCAGCAGAGGTGGAGTAGCCTCTGGGTGGAGCAGGACAGGTCACAGCAGCAGAGGTGGAGTAGCCTCTGGGTGGAGCAGGACAGGTCACAGCAGCAGAGGTGGAGTAGCCTCTGGGTGGAGCAGGACGGGTCACAGCAGCAGAGGTGCAGTAGCCTCTGGGTGGAGCAGGACAGGTCAAAAGGTGGAGTAGCCGCTTGATCCACTTGGTTCTGGACCATGAATCCTCTCTGCTCTGGTCTGGACCAGTGTAAAACCATGAATCCTCTCTGCTCTGGTCTGGACCAGTGTAAAACCATGAATCCTCTCTGCTCTGGTCTGGACCAGTGTAAAACCATGAACACTGTACTGCAGCAACATCTCAGGCCCGAAAAAAGCAATAAAAATAAAAATGGTAAAACACAAAACAACAGCTGTTTTAGAGCTACTTTGGACTTGCAGCAGTTTCAAGGCGCATCTTTCCAAAAAATAAATAAATAAATAGATTATGTGTATATGAATATTGTATAATATTAATTTTAGATTGTGTGCATGGGATGGATAGCATACGAAAATCTCTAGCAAATGACTCTGCCATTTCACACACTGCATCTGTCCCTCTAATACTGTGTAGAGTTTCTTTACCTGTTTCCAAAGCCACACACACATCAGGCCTTTCCCAACAATAAGTCTTGTTGTCCTTCTCTGCTCCTGTTTACCTCCTGCGTCGCTACCTTTCAAGACTGAGAAATAAATGACTTCTAACTGTTACAAAGAGAGGCTTTTGTGCCACCAGAACCTCTTCATGTACTTTAGCAGTTCACAAACCTAATTTTTGTCCTGGCCAACGTCATTCCAGTGACTCATTCCGGTGTGTACAAGGTGTTTTCACTCTCTCCCTCTCACAATAACAAGCGCATACACACACACACATACACACACAGACTTTTGGTGATGCCTGTTTGCCAGCAGCCCTTTTAGATCCCACTCGGAAAAACGGGAAGAAAAACAACCGTGAATTATTGAACACTTTACCAAACGCTTCCCTGCCTTAAACCGAGGGAGAGGGAACCTTAAAACGCCTCGTCTAGACACAACATTGTATCAGTCGCGCTCGGCTTGCTCGATGCACTAAGAATTTACATAATTTGATCATGACTCGATGAAAGCGCTGCTCTCCCGGAATATATGTGCTTAAGTTAATGCAAGCGAGAGAGAGAGTTATTAGGAATTCAAGATGGCTTGCCGCGTTTAATTGCAATGCCCAAGACCGCTGTTTATGCTTATGTAAACTGGAAGAAATCTACCAAAAAGCAATAATGATTGGACTTTAATGGAGTGGTTGGGGCCAGCGAGAGTGAACCCCATTAATCACCGGGAGCGTGTCATCTCCGCCCTCACGCTGCCCTTGCTCCGCGTCCCCACTTTCTGCACTATCCCGGTCTGAGTAATGGCCCAACTGACCACACATTCATAATTTTAAGATAGGGTACAAGAGTATGATTTTTTTTTTTTTTTTTTGCAACAAGAGGTTTCAAATGTGTCTGCAGGAAAGGCAAGAAGGAATGTCCTTTCTCCATGGTTTGATAAGAAAACACAGAGAGAAAGATGGCTGAAATGTTTTGTTTTGTTGGAGTTGGAGTTGGGACGGTATCGATCAGTGACGCCTTATTTACACCATCCTCTGTTCATGCTTTTAACTTTGTATATTAACTGTTAGGGTTAGGGTTAGTGTAACAATTAGGGTTACAATTAAAACTGTATTTTAATTGTTCTTAAACTGTGATTTAAGTGTATTCTCACTGTTTTTATCTATTTTTAACTAACTGTTTTAACTGTTTTTAGCTAACTGTTTTTATCTATTTTCAACTAACTGTTTTTATCTGTTTTTAACAAACTGTTTTAACTGTTTTTATCTGTTTTTAACTAACTATTTTTAACTAACTGTTTTTAACTAACTGTTTTAACTGTTTTTAGTGTATTTTAACTGTATTTTAACAGTTTTTAAACTGTATTTACATTGTTTTTAACTTGTATTTTAACTGTATTTCAACTATTTTTTTAACTGCATTTTAACTTGTATTTTAACTTTTTTTAAATCGTATTTTAACTGTTTTTTACAGCATTTTAACTTGTATTTTAACTGTTTTTGACTGTTGACTAAATTTATTTGAATGTAAGACAACCTTGAGGGTCTAAAAAGGCGCGTAAGAAATAAATTGTATTATTAATTATTATTGTTGTTGTTATTACTATTATTATTCAAGGTCCAAGGTATCTTTAATATCCCTGAGGGTAATATTGTTGCAGCAGCAGAAAGGTACACATATATACAAGGAAACATCGCACCAAGACTACAATGATCTGTTATCACTTTTCCCTCCTGTGTCTTTTTTAAAAGCAAGTGGCCTCTGTTTCCGGGTAAAGCCACCACCGGAGAATAGTCAGATCCCAGGAACATCAGCCCACATGCTCACGGACCCTTCTGAACCTGCCTCCATTTGTCCGAAGGCAGGAATAAATGAAACAAACAGATTTCAGATTTATTTTTAAGGTAGTTCTTTCCAGTTTCTCAAGTATATTGTGATTAATGCCCATCCTTTAAAGAATCAATGTCCATGGTATCCCCGGAGCTGCTTTCCTTCCATGAACGCAATACTTTTCTCCTGAACTTACATTTTATCTGTCAAAATGTATCTTTTCATACATTTAGTGGCATTCAAGATGTGTACTGTTACGAGTTTGAGGACTGTGTTGTTGTCAAAGAAGTCGTTTCTGCTGTGGCCTTTTAAACGTTGGCCGTACGTGGTGCACACATAAATGAGTCTTCTTGGTGGTAGACATTGCCTGAAGGGATGGCGTGTGGAGGTGGTCAAAAGCCACAGGGGGGCATAATGACAAGCCATAAAATTTTTAATGTTATTTTACCCCACCACATGTTAGGAGCCCACTCAAATATTAATGCATTTATAGACTGACTGACACAAAAAAACCACGGGAGAATATAGGGCCAGTGGGGCAGGACCGAGTTACAACAGCAACAAAAACAAAATGCTGTTTTTTTCTCTCCTCGTCACGGCTGTCAAGTTGCCAAATGCACAAAGCAGGAGCAGAAGACTTGGTGGCACAAGCAATAACATTTGAATGTCACAAAATAATTCTCGCTGTAATGTTTTCTAATATTAGAGTCTCTTGAAAAGGCCAAGAATTGCCACAGGGGCAGAGGAAATGACTTACTACTTTGGGGCTGTGACAGTTCATAATTCCATTTCCAATATCTTTCTTCTTTTAAAAGTTTAAGGTCTTGCTTGATCCGCAAGGGTGGCTTTCTGGTTTTTTATGTTTTGGCAATGTGTTTAGTTTGTTCATTCTTAGCAGGAAATGTGTTTTCACACTCTGAATACAAACGCTTGGGATTTCAACTTTTGTGAGAGTGTGGCCTGCTGCATTTTACTTATATATACTTACAAACTGTATACACATACATATATACTTACATATACACATACATTAAACCTGTTGTCTTAATAGCCAAAGGTATGATAATTAATCTAGTCTTCATATCATAAACTGTTCAACTATATGCTGAAATATGCATGTACGTGTGTTGCATTTATGGAAAGCCTGTTTACGTGCACGTAGCAATAATAAGAGGCCAGATTCAGGCGTCTCATCCTCACGCCATTAAACAGAATATGGGACGCTGGGTGAATAGCAATGAACAGGCTACAGCTGACATGGGAAAGCAGAAAGGATAGAGCGCCATATGTTTTAAGCCTGGCCTCAAATGCAGAGACAGTGCAGCAGCTGCTACACACTCTGCCTCCAACTGTGCTTTTTGACACTTTAGGAACCAGCAGAAGTCTGGCCTTTTGCGAGCGCTGCGCTGGATTTTGTTGATATGATGCTAACGTGTCTAGGAGCTTGGAGGGAGCCATTACTATTGTACCGTCTTTTACGACCTTGTATGGTAAAAGATGGATTCAAATGTTGATTCTGTTGTCCGTGGGAGGCCGGTGGAGTGATTTTAACACTGCTGCTTTTCAAATGCGGTGATTCAATAAGTCGAAATATATTTGTAGTATGTTCTGGAATGCCGTATTATTGTCCGCAATTGAAATAAATGCATCACACAACACAACATTGATATACATTACTGATTTTAATACAAATAAAACAATCAAAATAGCACAATACAATACATCGCACGCCTTTGTCATGATCCCAAAATGTTTTAGAACAAATCCCACATTACCCTCACTCACCAAAACCAAGACATTCTGCATTTGTAGCACGTTTTTTAAAAGAAAAGTTGAAGTGGTTCGGGGCTGATTCGCTCCCGGTGACTCACGCACACATAACTTTGCCTTTCTTTTCATGTTTTGCCTTTGTCGTCGGCTGAGATGACATGTGACAGCTAAAGTGAAATCCCCTGCATTATTGGGCTGCCATCTTCTGCCCTGGCATAATGAGCGCACACTGTCGCCCAATGCTGTAATTACGCCTCCTTCTCCGCGGGTTGCAGGACACGCGGCTGTATTGAGAATGATGAGGCTAACGCAGACTTAAACAATATGTGCTCTTTCCCACCGCCACCGGGGTCGGCGGCCGCCACACTTACGCTCCATAGTGCCTGTTGTCAGTCTGCCGGAAGAATAGGCTCTGTGCATAGAACCAAGCCGGCGGACATTTGTCAGAGCAATTTGGAGATGGAATGGTTTTAATATGTAGTTATTGTAGATTTTAGCCATTCTGAGGCCCAATTTTTTTGTTTCAACGATAACTCTCGACATAAATGTTTGTCTCAACATAAAAATTAAACGTTGTGAACAATTCAAACAAAAGCAGGCAGTGTTTATCTTATTAACTGTCTTATTGTTATGAAAATGCATTGGTTTTATATAACTATTCATGACAACAACAACAGCAATTTGTTCTTGTATAGCCCTAAATCACAGCAGCATCATCTCAGAGACTTAACAAAACCATTGAAATCACCAACACAGATCAGAGAATCAACAGTTAAAACACATAAAGAACATAGAACACATGTTGATAAATGTCATACATGTAGAATGTTAAAGTGTCCTGGATCATCACAGTCCTTCTAGTTGGACACTAACTGTCCAACAGACCCTCCTGCATCAGAGGAACAACTCATAAGAAAACCCAGTGGGAAAAAGTGAAAAACTCGGGGAGACCCATGGTTTGAGAAAGGGATCCGCTCCGACACGGGCTAACGACACTCAAAGACGCTTCACATGTCATTATTCATTCACTCCATACACAGTGGTGATTACTACTGTAGCCACAGCTGCCCTGGAGCACACTGACAGAAGCGAGGCAACCAGTCTGTGCCATCTACAGTATATGGGAACATCAGGTGTTCCCAGAGGTCTCCCATCATAGTACTAACCAGACCCTGCCCTGCACAGATTCAGAGGCCGCACACCTCTGTCACATCAAGGCCAACACCCCACGCATGTGAAAACTAGGCATAGAACCAAAATGTGTTAGATCCAGGAGCTACATCAAGTGCTATACATTTTATTTAAGTTTAAGTTTTATTTTTGGTGGTTTGAACAGACAGTAAATAACATGAACTGCTAATGCCCTGTGTTTCCCATTCAATCGAATCACTCATTTCATGCAAAGCCCTTGAGTGGCTCAAGTGGCCCTTCCCACAGGAAAACTGAAAAAAATGTGCTTTCAGTTCCCACTTCTGGAAAGCACGGCTAAAAATCCACTACGTTTCAATAGACCTGGTTCAGAAAAAACCAGGCTCTAAATTGTTTTTTTGACTCATGAAAAGCCAAAAGGGTTTCATAGAGTGTTTCCACTTCCGAAGTCAAAAATCAGGTTTGGACCAGACTCAAAGATGGCGACCCACTTCTTCATGGCCGTGATGAGACAGCCACCCGCTCCCACTGGTCACACGGTTAGGAAAGACTCATGACACCGCAAGTGACTCAAGTATAATACCATTACAGTGGATCGACATTTTGCTCATGCTTTGCTTATGATTCATAAATAGCCCCCACTTTTCATTAAAACAAACTAAATTGTCCATCATTTGGCTTTCACTTCTCAGTTGTGACAAAATCTAAATTAAACTCTGTTTACGCATTCATATATTGTTGTTTTGACGCATGTTTTTCCATTGCTCTGACTGTTCCCTTTGTGATCTGTCACCGGTCTACGCTCGCTGCTCTTATTTTCGGGCGGCACGGTGGCTGAGTGGATAGCAAGAAGGTCCTGGGTTCAAATCCCGGTCTGAGTGGAGTTTGCATGTTGTCCCCGTGTCTGCGTAGGTTTCCTCCGGGTGCTCTGGTGTTCCCTACCACTAAAAACATGTACAATAGGTCTGTGCCTCCTGTACTGGCCCCTCCCATCTCTGTGTGGAGCGAGACTAATGCCCAAAAATAACATTTGTAAACTGCTTTGTGACTCTGGTCTGTGAAAGGCGGTATATACAGTAAATAAAGATTACTTACTTTAATTTAATGATTTTTTTTCTTCCACCTGAGATGCACAGTCTTTCAATTGAAAAATAATGAGCTGTTTGCAAACGTAATCAGTGGTAAATGTAAAACTGCAAATGAATACATCTAATTTGGGGACAAAAGTCTGGGCTTTTATCAACTTCAATATTGAGATTTCAATTGTTCAAAAACATTCTAGTACTGATGAGAAAGTCAATGCATGGGTCTGGAGTTTCTTGTTTACAACTTGCTGACAATCCAATGTTATGTGTGTGCGTCTACAAAAATATACCTTTTCATGGTTTTGCCTAATTTACTCATTTGATGTAGCTGTGTGTGTTTATGTGTGCATGTGTGATAGAAAGATACTCCCAGGAGAAAATCAGATTTCCACACAAAGATACCTAACAATAACAAGATCTGTTGTACTGTCAAATGATCTCTTAAAACATTCTGTTCTGCAGCGTAGTGATAGGAGCCTGTTGCTACGGTTACTCCTCCATACTTACTCCGCCATAGTGTAAGTAAGCAAGTAAGTAATGTTTATTTATATAGTGCTTTTCACAGACCAAGGCACAGACCCAAAGCACTTTCCAATGTTCAGAGTCAGATATTGTTCCAATCCTTCCACACACGGTGATGACAGAAGCGAGTCCAGAACACACTGGACCATCAGCTCCAACACCATCCATTCACTCTCTCATTTACATTCAGACCTATTGTGCATGGTTTTAGTGGTAGGGGAAACCGGAGCACCCGGAGGAAACCTACGCAGACACAGGGAGAACTTTCCAATCAGCAACCGTGCCGCCCTGTATTGATTGATTGATTGATTGATTGATTGATTGAGAGAGACTTACTTTCATGCTATAATATTTATCATTCAATGGATCCAAGTTTGTTTGCACTCTGTATGTGCTCAACAGCCAGTGAGGCAGACGTTGCTGGCACGTCCTGAGCGTTTCAAAAATTAATCAGGTAAAAGCCCGTCTTTAAAGCCATCGCACATCTCCGACATTGCTCGACGTCTACATTTTCCCTCCCAGAATGCAAACCACAGTCTTGCATTTCTCTCGCTCTTTATTGTAGCATTAACCACAGCCGTCACAAGCAATTTAGCGCTTTGACCGGATTCCCATTTAGCACCAATTCCAAACAAAAAGTGGAATAATCGTCTGTGTGGAAGCAGCTACAGTTGAATGGGTTTTCCTCAGACGCTCGCATGCCCTCCGGAGCTCTGATCTCTCACATGCTTCTTGACACATGGCAATTACACCATCCCTCCCACCTCCTACTTGTTTTTAAGAGTAATTAAACTAGGCTCCAGTCTTCGCAAAGGTCTATACGGTGAGGTCAGACCACCCCAGAGGAGAATTTAGTGCAATGGAGAGCACCACCCCCTCCCCGAGCTTTCTTTCTTCTGTTTTTTTCGTCGTAGTGTGTGGGCTGGTATTGAAGTGGTGGAATGGAGAGAGGGTTGGCTGCCCCTGAGGTCGTTTGTGATCATTATTAGAAGGAGAGTAGACACAAACAAGTGATGTCTCTATAGGAGGGCTTCATGTCCGCTCACGTCAGCGGCTGATGGACGAGACGGGGCATGTGGCTGATAACAGGCTGCGATAGTGCGGAGATGCTCTGAAATGTTTTAATGGGGTGGAACTGTTGGCGCTACATTATTTTTCTTAACGCTGTTGCGGAAGATGCTTTTAAAATGTGGTCCAGTATCACAGATTCTGGCTAACACACCAGATTTGAGATTGCAAGTGAATATTGAGTCCAGGAACCCTACATTCTGATTGTTTCTCAGATAAGTTACTGTATCACCTGCTGGTCCCAGGCCACAGCCTCTTCCATCAAACCAGTAAGAATGCTCTACAACAGAGCCATAAAAATACTGGACAAAAAGCCAATAAGAACACACCATTGCCAGGTGTTGCAGAGACTACATTTTCTTAGTTTTGAAAATTTTATTAAATTCTGTAATTGTAAATTATTGTACAAATGTTTGCACAGTCGAGCCCCTGCTGTCCTGAGTGCTCTCATAGTTCCTCTGAGATCCGTCACACGGGGCTCCTCTTACGGGAGTGTGAGGCCCCTCAGGAGAACCACATTCGGACAGTCGGTCTTCTCGGTCCAGGGGGCAAAGCTCTGGAACTCTTTAAGCCCTCAGCTAAAACTGAACTCTAACTGGGCTGGTTTTAAACATGAACTAAAGCGATTTTTTAAAACAAACCAGGTGTGTGAGTATCAAAGAGTTGGAGAACATCTATCTGCTTTTGTATAATGTGAATTTTATAATGTATAATGTGTTTTAATTGTGTTAAAAGCCCTCCTAGGGACGGACATTGCAAACTAGCCTTGGCTATAAATGTTGTAGTGTTTCAAATGTTGATTGTGTACACTTGTCCCTATCAAATAAATCAATAAATAAATAAAATAAATAAATTCATTTTCTCGTAGGAGAGGTGTGGTTTATGATTATTACTCATTACTTGGGTTTGGAGTTTTTCCTTGACGATGCAGGAGAGTCTGTGTGACGAAGCAGACCGTATTTTTCCTATTTTGACAGTTTATTTCAGTAATTTGTTCACATTCATTTGCTTTAGTATGTTATCTGTTATCTTTAACACTCACCTTTTGAGTTACAGCTATACTCACCTCACCACATTGTCCATTAAAACAGGAGGCGTGCCCTTCGTCGGCCATTTTTGTAGGCTGTGGGGGGGTCTTTGGACCAGACCATGTGGATGGGGGAGGTTTGGGCTGTGGAGTCAGTCTCAGCGGGTTCACCACCAGTGTAGCCAGGTACACGTGGGTTATTTTACGTTTTTACTTTCTGTTTCTTTGTTTATTTTGAAGCAGTTTTTGTATATTTTTTGCCACGATTCACCTTTTGGTTTTTGGGAACTTGCTCGTCTGCCTTCTGCTTGACCCTTTGGTCAGCTTCCCCACAGTCTGTTAAGCCTAGCGTACATCGGACTGGCAACTGATTATATCCGTCGCCTCTGAGTTGCTGCCCCGCACACATCGACAATCTGGCGAAAACGGGCAACTCTGAGTCGCAGGCCAGTCTCTTGAATAACAGCGCGTACATCGACAGCAACTGGCCTCAACCACAGTGTGTTTTCTGACAACAAACTGTTGCGGGCTCGCAATACACGCAATACACACACGTTGTCGGAGCGGCGCATGGAGCGCGCACATCGGAGCAACTGAGGACAACTAGTTGCCGAAAAGTAGAACACGGGCAACTGACTGGAACTGGAGACCGACTGATCATCTCCAGTTGTAAGAGCGCGCACATCGACCGATTTCGGCAACTGATCATCTCCCACCATCTCCTCTCAGTTGCCAAAAGCCGCCTTGCAACTAGTTGTCCCCAGTTTCTCTGTCGATGTACGCTAGGCATTAGAGTCTTGTGAGGGTCTGACTAAAAGGACAGTGGTGATGATCCAGGACACTCAACATTCAACACTTATGGGCGTTGGTCAATTCCCCCCATGGACCGATACCTTTTGATTCTGATTGTCGAATTCAATGGTTGTGTAAAGTCTGTTGAGATTAATCCTGTTGTGATATAGGGACAAGAATAAACTGAATGGAATCATTAATCCCTTTGCCTTCTTGAAGAAAGCAATGTCATAATTTTTATTTTCTAATGGATTTTCTAAGATGTACGAAACGAATAACACAAATAATTTGATTTGACCTCATTTTGTTTTTGTTTAACCCCAATTTTTTTATAACTTATAAGCCTTTACCAAAGGGTTTGATTGTTAAAGTGCCAAAAACCAAGTGAGATTCCCAAAAAGGAAGATTTCAGTTCAAAGCTTAAAGATCAACTAAACACCAGTGCCCAGCCTGACTCCGCCCACATGAACATTTGAAAATTCTCCCCAAAATGGGCGTTGCCCAGGAGGACCAAGGGACAAGAAGGGGGGCTTAGAGTTGGGCGTGGCGTGGGCTTTGATTGACGGCTCTCTTGTAGCTATGGAGAGTGACAGTGACAGCAGCTTCGCGACCGAGCGCTCTTTTGAGGTGGAGGACTTTTCTCCACCTTCATCACCAGAGGTGGAAGTGGAGGAGGTTAATGTGGAGGAGTCCGGCGGCCCTGAGCCGTACATGTTTGAGCCGATGGCCACCGGTGCAGCTAGCACTGACGAGCCTTCCGAGGCATCAGTGCAGCACAGAATGGGTCCCGTTACTGAATGGTACATTGGTGTTAGCATTATTGCTAATATTTTTATTTGATGTAGAACAAAAGAGATGGATATTGTGGTTAGGGTTACACACACATGACTCTGCATCAACAGGTGTTTGTGTGGCAACTGCACATCATTATCCCCAGAAGAGAACGTGTGCTGTAGGGAGACACCAAAGGTACAATAGAATAAAATTAAATAAGACATAATTATACAAATCATATTTTCCTCATTAAGTTCCCTATTTGTGGTAGGTAATGCACAGATGTCAGCAGGTGGGTGTAAACACCTGCATTACGGAGCACCCGGGGTTTGAGGCAGTTGCCCTCAACCCATATGTGCTGCAGGCAGTGTATGGCACATACTTACAGCTCTTTGGTGACATGCCAGAGACGATGGTGCACAGGTTAGTTTTTGCAGGATAATTGATTAACAATTAGGTGGTTGACAACCCATACATCTCTTCTTTCAGTAATTACCGGCACCTTGCGTACCGGAATGTGGTCAGGTGGTGTTGGGGTTACCTAGGCCAGCATATCAGAGTCGTGATCCCGTCCTGTGCTGTGACCCGTATCAGGCTGGAGTTCCCTGATTATGTGGCTTACACGGGGTTCCTCCCTGTCCTGAATTTTCATGGCCAATAAACATCAATATAAACACAAATGCCATTCTGAAATTTTTTATTGCTTGTCTTAATTTTTTTCCTTCAGATCTTATAACGTGCATATTTGTACATACAATAAGCATCCAAATGTAGATTGGTGCACCAGTGGAAAAAATATATTAACAAATATACAATATACTTTGTCATATTTATATATACATTGAGCATTTAAACCAAGATTGTACAGTATCTAAATGCAAACATAGATAATTGAAGTTTTTGGATGTTGAATGTGGGAATGTTCACAAGCCACTGATATTTATCTCACAACACACCAGTTGATAATAAAACCCAACAAATACTGATGGATAATGGACTGAGAGCAAATTTCGGCACTGTCACAGCAAAAGCATGAACGCCACACTCCCTGGACCCAGTGTCAGGTGACATCACAGCTAAAGGCCTATAGGAATATATAGTAATGAGGAAGTGTTGTTCTTGTACAGAGAGATCATGGACCCAGTGACTGATTATGTTTGAAATTATATTGATTATTTTTTAGATACGACTTTTGAAAGTAATGCTGTTTATAGGAAATACCCACTAGACCCTGTGACAATCACATTTCAGAACCTGAAAGCAACCAATTCCCCAAAAAAAATCACTTTACCCCTACATTACTAACAAATCTATATTCACAATCTACACTTGTATACATTTTGCGGCTACAGTGGTGCAGAGTAGAGCTGGTCATCTTGTGATTGGAGAATTGGCGGCTCAAATCACGCAGGTGCACACTGTCCTTGGGCAAGACACTTCACCCTCTTTGCCTCCATTGTCTGCATTCACTGGTGTATGGATTGGTGACTGGTTCCTCGATGTCAAGTTCTTAAAGAAAGTAGAAAAGGTGCTATATAAATGTGACAATTTGCATTCAATATGTATCTAGTGTGCAATTCTGCAATTCAATGTATTACAAAAATTGATCAACACTACATTATCATCAATGTTGGCGGTACCTGAGAGTGAGGTCCATCCTGTCTTCCCACACCTCTGGTTCATAGTTAGATATGTGTCCTGGCTGACTCATGTCTGCTTTCTGAAAATATTTCAGTTCTTATTGGCATGCAGGCATGTCAGAAAAAAGCTATAATAGAACGATGATAATCTTGCATAGTGTTCAGTGAATAAACATATGAACAATAGAATGTGTACATTATAACACTATCAGTCATGCAAAATAAGTTAGTGACCCCATATATTTATATTCTGGATATTCTTGTTGTATGTGATCTTCTGGTGTTTGTTTTTCCCCTTATTTGCTCTTGAAAAATCGTGACCTGTGCCTGCTCACTGCCTCCTTTTTGTCAGGCCTTTCATACTGGCCACAGAGTGGTTCAGGCACATGTATTTTGTCCGAGTGCTCTTGATACGGCACTGTATCCTGCACCACACACTCGAACAGCAGAGTCATCAGCTTATCAATGTAGACTGGGGAAAAAATACAACATAAATATTATAACAGCCCTCATTCATAACAGTCAAGTTTCTTTCATGACATACATGTGGTGAATTTGGTCTTCAGAGCTCTCACAGTATAGTCGCCATGTTTATATTTTGGATACACTATGGAGTACCTCAGCTCACCAGCAGCAGTTCTGGCGTGTGTGCGTGTCGCGTTCTCATTATAGTGCAACGCTGAGATTTGTAACCTAGAACAATCAAAACAAAAATAAGAAAACAGTGATGTTATTTGGTTCAGTTTCAAAAAAATATATAATGAGGGAATAGAAATAAATACTTTTACAAGGTTTTGGTATTCATTACCTGGCCATCATTCCTTTAAAGGAGAAGCACACACTTTTCGGAGAGAACCTGATGATGAGGCTGTGAAATGCCTCAATGTAGGACGTGTGGTAAAGTGGGCTGATTTTCTCCACGTCCTTCAGAAACCTCGGCGCCAGTAAAATGGCCGTTAGTCTTTCGCATGCTGCTGTGCCTACACACAAAATGATCAATGGAAATGTATTTTGGATTAGAAAGAACATGCAAAATGTCCAAGATAACTAAATATATAATCAAAGAAAAACTGTCATTACTAACTTGGCTTGAGCCACTCCCTTGCTCTTTCCCCAACCAGTGGCTCGTGTTGGCAGCAGGGGAACAGGGCATTATCATGCGCGTGAATATTTTGTATGTGGTTGGCTACAGAGGTCCACTTGGCCACAGCTTCTTCTCCTGAGGAGGAAGTAGAGGCTGACCAGTAGAGGTGATTCACCACGCTCTTCCTCCATTGGCCCACATCCTGAGTGATCTTTTTCTTTGCCAGTCCATCTATTTTCTTCCCCATTCCTATGACATTTTTTTTATTACATGGATTAGATCTATATTATCTGTTAATTATACGCTAAATACATACCCTTTCCCATGTGCCAAGGGTCAAAATAGTGAGTGATGTCTTTTTTTCCTCCCTTAGGTACTTCTGCACTCCTGTGTGTCTGTCCGTCACAATTGCCTGTACTTTCACACCCTTCTCTTCCAGCATGGTCAGACTGCGTATAAATCCTTCCTTCTCCATCCTTACACTGTTCCCAACTTCACTGCTCTGAAATACAACAGAATTATCTACATAAATGCGCCAAATGATTCCCAATTAATTGTTCAAATGTAAACATGGTGGTGTTTTACCTGGATAAGTTGGATGTCAATGACGCTGTTACTTTGCAGATTCATCATGGTGTAACTACCGTATTTAGCTGAATGTCCTGTAGAAATGCACATTACACTTGGTAAACTATTATTTAAAACATAAAAATCTTTGTTTATAAAGAAAAGATTTACCTGGAGAGTCAGCACGCATATCCCCACCAGTAGCTGCCTCCCTGATTTTTTCATCCTGCTCAAGCTTCCACTGCCAGCTGACCGTCGGGATGAGGAGCTTGGCCTGATGCTTGTAAAAAGTTTGCTCTGACAGTCCTTGAATGTTGAAAGCCCTCAGGAACTATGCAATATAAAGTAATATTACCAACTGACTGTTATGGAAACATTGTCAATACAGATAAGACGATTTATATACCTTGGAAATCTGACCAAAACACGAGCCAGTGAAGAGGACAGCAGCACAAAGCTGAAGATTTCCAGCTGGTATATCCTTCACCATGGGCTGACTGGACCAGTCATTGAAGTACTCACATGCTGGACACTGCTGTTTCACTCGGAGGAGTGTGCCCAATGTGGTTGTCTCAACTGTACAACGACGAGTGCAGACAGGACATTTTTGAAAGAGCGACAGCAGTTGGTCCTCATGAACAATGTACTTTCTGGCTTTGTGTGGAGGGACTTCCGTTGTAGCGCTATTATGTAGGAAGAGGCAAATGTAACCATTTAAGAGAATACAATATTTTCCAAGGTATATTTTTAAATAATACACAAGCATTCTTTTCCCCCATACATTTTTACCTTGAACAGTTCAGAGAACTGTCGTTCAGATGGAAGCTGGGGTCAGATGCAGACACCTCACACCTTTTTCTTTTCAAGGGTGTAGAGGCTGCTCGGGGACTTTCAGGAAGTGGGATTCCCATGAAGGTCCCTGTATCACAGGAAACGCTGACGCTCTTATGTGGAGCCTGCACCTGCAAGCCTGTTTAAAAGAACACAGATAAACACATTATTAATAGCACTCATAAATGGTTACATTAGCATCTAACAGCGAATCCAAAGTAAAATTAAACTCTTGTACTAGTGAATAATACAGACTGTTATAAAAGACAAATAACCTTTGCTGCGCCTGCTGGGCTTAACATTGGCCTGGACACAAGCGTGCCTGCTGATGATTGGATCCGTCTGACAGGCCATTTCTCTGGTTGCTTTAGGCTGAAAACATAAGTAATAATATTAGTAATAAGTAATAGTAGTAAGGGAGGAAAGACTTATTTGTATAGTGGTATAGTAAGACTAATTTCTACAGTGTGGATGTTTCTTTGTAGTTTTGATCAGAGTAGTTTATGATCCCAGAACTACCTTGAAGCTTGTGCGCCAAGACCCACGTCTATTGTACATCTATTAAACAGGCTTTCTGCTAAATATGATGGTACATGACATGTGGAGTATTGGGGTAATATGTTACCTGGCTAGGACCTATTGTGAGTGCTTATTGATACGACGGAGATGAGGTCACGTGCGCTATAAAAATGTCCTAGCCAGGTAATAACAGGGCATAACAAAAACAAAACATCCATATAAATCCCCTTACATTAGCACACCTACGTGGACGTGAGGAAGATAAAAACAAACGCAAGTGACAGTCATGTCATGGAGATCGCGTTGTTACAGCATAAACTCGTTACAAAAGCTAGCCCCTTCGCTAACACACTGGACAACAAAACCATGTAAGGTAATATACCGCGCTAACTACCGCGGACCTGCACAGTTTCCTCTCGGTCACAAGTCTACAGTCCGTCACCAAATGTCTCCATGTTTCCTTTATTAAAATAATTTAAATAAAGGTAAAACAAAAATAAGTGGCAGAACATTACCATGAAAGTAAATGACTGTGGAGCCAGGACACTTCTCCAGATGTTTACAAATATTTTTACATAGTCACTTGTTTTGTCCCAATTCATTCGCACGTAGCATTTTTCTGAAAGACGGCGACTCTATACTAGCAGTATCTCATTTATAATATAAACCTAAGTAAATTTGTATCCGTCTTTGAGGTTTTCTGACAGCATCAAACAAGTTCAGGTTCTTATAACGTGTCGGTGTTGTGTGTCGGTGAGTACTGTCTGAGGCAGCGGCTGACACCATCTGTAGGTACTACTTAATCAGGCCTTGCTTCGGGCAAGTACCATTTATATTTTACTTGCCCAATGTCAAAAGTTACATGCCCAAATATTTATCAATACAATGAGTTAACAAAGATGTT